ACTTAGTATAATTTTTTCTTATAGCTAAAGTAATAACTTATATAGTATAGTATTTATTAGATACTATATAGACCTATTACTAAATATCTATAAGTAATTAATATAGTTATTATTTAGTATAGTTATTACGTTATTTAAAGACTTATATAATAGTTCTAAGTAGGTAGGTATAGTTAGATACTAGAAGATATAGCTACTAGAGCTAGTTAATAGCTAGCTACTATATCTCTATAAGATAAATAAAGAAGATAATATTATATAATAAATAACTATTAATAAAATTATAGATCTTATTAGTATAGCCTATATTTATTATTAAGTTAGAAACGTAATATATATATTTTACTTTATTATTAATAAATACGCTCTTTCTAAGCAGGATAAGCTATAGAATATATAGTTACTTAGTAAATACTTTATAATAAGATATTAATAAAGTAAGCTATACTTTATATACTACTACTATATTATAGTATAATATAGTAAGAAATAAGCTTCTTTATAAACCTACTACGTATATTCTAAACCTATATAATATAAATAAGTAATATAGGCTATATCTCCTCTATATTTACTAAACGCGCTTTAATAATATATAAGTTATTATAACCTCTCTAAAATTACTATTTAAGTATATTTTTTATATATTTAACCTTAGATATAAGGTTTAGTACTTTTCCTTCTAAGTATATCTCTAATACCTTAAATAAGGATTAGAAGTTTATAGAAATACTATATATAACTATAAGTATTTTAAAGAGTAACTAGCCCTTTAATTATAAAAATAACTTACTCTTTAATTATAAGAATAACTAGCTCTTTAATTATAAAAATAATAAGTAGGCTAAGTAGTACTATAACCTAGAAGTTACTATTAACTTTCTTAAATAGTATTTTAATAAGTTTAAAGTTAAGAACTAGTATAAAGTTAATATAGATATCTACTTTACTATTAGGGTAGAATTCTATTACTAACTTACTTTTAAAGTAGGCTATAATTAATACAGCCTACTAGCTAATTTAACTAAGGAGAAATAATATATTATACTTTAGCCCTTTCCTAGTACTTAATAAATTAGTAGCTATAAAGTTTACTATAGAGGGCTTAAGTTCTATTATTAAACTACCTTTAAAGTAGGCTGTAATTAATACAGCCTACTAGCTAGTTTAATTAAGAAGAAATAATATATTATACTCTAACCTCTTTCTTAACCTTAATAGTCTAGTCTTCTAAGATAAGTAAGAGGAGGTTAAGTTAATTTAGATAAAATATAAAGCTAAGATAATATAATACTTTAAAATAATAATATTAAAATTTAATATATAAATAATACTTAATAATTAGAAGTAAGCCTTTAATTAGTATCTTTACTATAAATACTTAGCTATTAAGGAATATAAAAGAACTAAAAACCTAATAGCTACTAATATTATTATATTTAATAATTAATATATAAGAATATATATTAACCCTATACTTAAGCTAATATATTATAATTATAGTACGTAAGACCTTATACCTACTAAGTTATAAAACTACCTTAATAGTAGTAAGAGTTAGATTTTATACCTACTAAGTTATAGAACTACTTTAATAGTAGTAAGAGATAGATCTTATATCTACTAAGTTATAAGACTACCTTAATAGTAGTAAAAGTTAGATCTTATAAAACTAGATTAATAAGGTTAGGTAGTTAAATATAATTAGTACTTTATATCTATATAATATTTAGTATATATACCTTTAGTACTAATTATATTTAACTACTTAACCTTATTAATCTATAGCTATTTATATCCTAAGTGTTCTATAAATAAAATAGTTTAAATATACTATTTAGTATTACTTTTCTTATAAGTAGCTTTCTAAAGGTCTAATTTTTTATACTCTTTATAATTTAGCTAGATAGAAAGTCTAAAGTTATTCCTACTATAGAAATAGTTCTACTAGAGCCTTATTACTAGAAAGCTAACTTCTACTAAGTATAGGTATTTTAGTAGTCTTAATTATACTAAGATAAAAGATTTAGTTAAAGGATATTATACTATAAAATATAATAGTTTCTATAGTAGACTTAGTAGTAATCTTTATAATACTAATATAGTAGTTATACTTAAGAGTAGTAGGTTCTACTACTATATTAGTATATAAATTAGTTATACTAGAATACTATCTTTAGGTAATAGATCTAGATATCTCTAATATAGAGCTAT